AGGATTTATTCTTTTTTTTGGGGGGGGGGCGTCGGTCATTGCCGGTTGGGCCTCCTTCGGCAGTAATCCCCGCAAAAGAAATCTTAGTGTAACCCTCCACAAAAAAAAAGAATCCATATGTAATCCTCCGCGCGAGGAAATCTTAATGCAATCCTCCACGCAAGGAATCAACTTGTAATCTGCCACAAGGGATCAAGTTGTAATCCGCCAGAGAAGGGGGCCTATTGTAATCCGCAACAAACATGAATCCGATTGTAATCCTCCGCGCAAAGAATCCTATTGTAATCCTCCACAAAGGGAGTCCTCGTGTAATTCTGCGCAACAGAAATCCATGTGATACGTGCGTGCCACAAGAGGAATCCACTGAAACGGAAACGAAAAGGAGCCAATGGGGAGATGAGAGGGCGGCAAAAGAGACAATAGGGATCCCGAAGGGGGCCAAGAGGGGGCCAGCTTAGAGCCGCGACGGATCCAACATATAACCAAGAGGGAGCTAAACGAGAAAGCCAGGGGGGGCAAAAGGAAACCAAGAAGAACTGTTTGAAGATTCTCAGAAAAAGAAGAGATTGCTAACGCTTACCGCTGCCCACGATGACTTCCTGAGATTATGGCATGGGGGGAACTGTGTGATTTGTTGTGCGAATTTTTGGGGGGCCGGGGCGCGCGAACGTGAGCTTCCGGGTCGTTTAGCGCAGCGCATCGCTGCTGCGTGTGTAAGTTTCGAAACCGCGTTTAGCATTTTTCCGAGGTATGCGTTTGCCGAGCAATCTGGGGGGGGGGGGGGGCGATTTGTGGGTGCCGTGGGGTGCATAGCGGGCGCATTGCGGGTGCCTTGGCAATGGTATTCTTGGGCCACTTGAAGCAAGTTGTTTTCGTAATCGCACATCTCAATAGCACGTGCAGCATTGTTCGATCAGGTATTTTTTTTGCAATTTGGTGTGGGCGATTTGCGGGTGCCGTTTGGGGCGCCTTTCGGGTGCTTTTCGGGTGCCGCACGGGTGCTTTGCGGGTGCCTTGGCGATGAAATCCACGGGTCTCTTGGGCAAAGCGTTATTTTCCGTGGTCGGACATTTCAATAGCACATGCAGCACGTTTCGATGATATGTTTGTTCCTGGAATTTGTTGTGGGCCATTTGCGGGTGCGTTTTTGGTGTCTTTCGGATGCTTTGTGGGTGCCTTGAAGGGTACCTTTCGGGTCATTTCTCGGGTGCCCTTGCACAAGGGGCCCCTGAGTCCCTGGCGCAAGCAAAACGTTTTAGCGTGTATATTGCTTCTCAGCACATTCCCACTTTGTTGGAGAGTTTGTTTTTGTAGATTTTGCAGGGGCGGTTTGCGGGTGCCTTTCGGGTGCCGTTGCAGATTTCTCTGGGTGCCTTCGAAGTGAGGTTCTTGAATTGTTTGACGCAGATTGTCGGTCTTGCGTTTTACATCAGTTGTACATGCACAAGGGTCTGTTTGGGCCTCTGGGAAGCCCCCCGAGGCCATGGTTGGTCCCGATAATGAACATCAGGAGGAGCAGCTGAGGGAAAATGGGGGGGAAGAGGGATGAGGGAGGCGGAAGAGGACGCGGAGGACGAGGAGGGAGGAGAAAGGATGTGGGGGCAGGGATGGGGGTGAGCACGACGGCGACGACGACGCTCTGATAAGGCTGCCCTGGCATCCTGAGCGCGCGCGCACTTATTGGTTGTCGTTGTGCAGGAAAGAAACCTTCTCAATCAGATCACGCGCTCGAACCGACTAGGTGGCGCAGGGCCGGTCGGGCATGCGGTCCCAGTCTTCAGTTGTGGACCTTGCGCGCTCTATGTCAGCTTCGACCCGAGTGGCATGGGCGAGCCTTGTAAAGCTGGGCAGGTATCTCGCGGGCCTGAACAGGCGTGGATATCAGTACCTGTACCAGGGGCGCGTCAAGGATTTACCGTTGCCGGATGCAAGGGGATGCGTGAACCAAAGAGCGGGCGAAGAGTTTTACGAGGATTTCAGATGGCAATGTCGTGGGGTTCGACTCAGGGAGTGGCGGCATTGTTCTCTGGAGAAGTAGAGTCACGCGGAATGGTGACGGGTGGGTAAATCGCGCGAGGATTGCGATGTTAATTGCAGTGTCGCGTTAAATAGCGATGCCAGCGCGGCCGCTGCCACTGCGGGCCAGCGAGGGCGACGACAAGGCAGACGCATCGAGGTTTGTCGATTGTGGTTGCAAGAGAGGGTGCGACGAGGGGATTTCAGCCCAAGTAGGGACCCATGAGAACCTTCACGCTTTATCCAGGGGTGTGAGCATGGGCGACATAGCCATTCAAGTGGGAGGTGCCAATCAACGCATTGTTTTCGAATCGCACGAGCTGGCGCCTGCTGCGGAGTGTTCGCGTAGCCCATTTCCGGGTTCTAATCGCGCGCCTTTCTGCTGGGAGCTTAGGCGCATGATCTGTTGAGACCTAAGTGTTCGTCTACGCGCGCTATTGAAGATGTGGGCCTCTCTGCGTTGCTCGGCGCTGAGCGAGGCTTTAAATGGCGCATCGCGTGTTAGGGGCCCCCCTTCGCGCGTGCTCCCAAATATGAGTCGCCTCTTGTCTGTGCCACTTGCGCGCGTTGTTCTGATTTCGCCTCTGACTTGCCTTGTTGGGCTGGGGGCCCGACCCTTGACTGCTCAGATGCGCGTTGCTCCATCCCTCCGTCTCTCTATGCTGCCAGATCGGCCGAGGGGGGTGCTCATGGGTGGCGTTGCGACCGGGCGAGAAGAGTTCGCATGTTCAGCAGTCTGGCATCCTGTGAGACGGGGCTCGCCCCGCCATTGCGCGGTTCGTGTTTCATCGGCCCCCCGGATCAGAACGCCCGCCGAATTTGCAGGAGGAAGACCAGAGTAAACCCGAGATGCGTCGACCGGTGCTGGATGCACCTTCGCGTCCCGAGCCCTCTCTTCGCGCGTCCATTCGAGTCATCCTTTCCACTGCGGGCGCCCCCCCTGCATGGCGAGTGACCGTATTTTTCGCCAGTCAGACGAGGGCGCTTGTTGTAAAAAGGATCTTCTCTCTATTTGAAGGGCGCCCAGGGAAGCCCCGTTCTGAGCAGTGCCCCGTCCGTCCTAGCGTTGCGCGACGTCGAAGTTGCGGGGGCATGTCCCGCGGAAGTCTTAGGCGACGGAGTTCTTCGAGGATGCCCGCGAATATTTTGATGAGGGCATGCCCCCCGTCCGCCCGAACATTGCAGGATGCTAACGTCGCTCGCGGGCGCATGCTTCGAAGAAGTCTCGGGCGAGGGCCCCGTTTCGAGCGGGGGGCCGCCTGCTATCCGTGCTAGTTGTTGCGCGACGTGGAGAGCTTGGTAGTCTAGGTCGACGCTGGGTCGCGCGAGCGCGGATGGTGGAGTTTGCATTCGAATGAGCGCGAGGTGCCAGGGAGACCGCGATGCGATGATGACGTCCACCGAGGGGCGTGCCCAGGGGGCTGGTTGTCATATGAGGGCGGCGGCGATGTGCGTCGCCGATCGCGGCTGTAAGTTTACGGGCTTCTTGACCGTGGAATCCTTCTTGAAGGTTCTTCGTCCAATGCCCTCGCCGTCGCGGGCAGGATTCGCCATCCATTCGCGCGGCGCAAGCCGCTTGGAAGCCGAATTTGCGCGGCGACAGGGCGAGGGCTTTCCTGTTGAAGCCGACCCGCCCTCTCGATTTTCTTTGGTTGTGTATAGTAATGGTGCGCGGCGCCAGCAACGCGAGAGCCCCCGGTGGAAACCGTTTGCGGCCCCTGCGTCGACGCGATCTGAATTCATCGGCTCCTTGAGACCTTTTGCGGTGACAGAAACAATGCAGATGAGGGTGTGGATGCTGTAGATGCTGGTGGCGACTGCGGGATTGGGGGCGCTCGGGGAGCGATTGCCGTGTTTGGGGGGCGCCTGTGAGCGTCTTGCACCGGGTCTGAGCGCATCGCGCAGCCCGGGGGGCGCTTGGGTCCAAACTTGTGTCGGCGAGGGATGCCCGAAACACATTGATTTAGTATGTGCTTGCTGTGGGTTAATCTTGCTTTCGGTTTTGTGGGCTCTTCGGGGCACAGGGGCGGGGTCGATGTTGGAGGTTCGCGCGCATGCGCGCGCCGAAACAAATCCACATCGGATGGCGAGGGTTGGGTCGGATGGTTGTGCGCCGATTTTTTTTTTTTTTTTTTTTTTTGGGTTTTGTGTTTTTTTTTGTTGGAGACGATGGTGGAGGTTTTGTCGGGTAGATGTGCGCCGGATAAGATTCGCAATGCGAGGATGGAGGTTATGTCGAGTGGATGTGCGCGTAGTATTATTTGCTGCGCAGGGCGCTGAAGAACGGGCCGGATTGATGTCTGCAGTCGATCATGCTTATCACATAGTGGCAAATTTTGGGCCGTATGAGTGTGTGCCGATTAATATTTGTGAATACATCGTGGTGATGGCTGAATCGTGAGGACACGACAGGATTTGTTGCATAGGATTGTAAACTTTGGGTCGGATGGATGCGCGCCCGATTGCTGTTTTTCATATGTTGGTGGGGTTGGGTCGCGTGAGCGTGCGCGGCGCAAAAGCGAGAGCTGCATTTTTTCAAGTGGACATGGTCTCAACCATGGGAGCTGTTGCGCGCGTTTTTTACGGCGATGTTGCGGCGCCTCGGCGAAAACCGCATTTCAAAAACGAGCCGGCATCCATCCATCTTGTAAGCAGTCTTAAGTTTTTAGGGAGAAAGTGTGCGGCCCCAGTGCTAAATCCACATTCCAATATCGACCTGGTCTCCATTTTTGGAATTGTGGGAAATTTCAAGCTTCAGGATCCGTTGGCGACGAAATTTCATGTGCGACAGCCCCGCCCTTCGGACACGTCTGGTAGTGCGACGGGGGAGTTATTGTGCGGAGGTTGGATGGAAAATGACGAAGACGAAGAGGTCGACGTCGACCACGATGACCAAGCGATGATGACCCCGCCTTCCCTCCCTCCATGCACCGGTTCCGTCAGTCGTTCCCCCCCCGCCCCCTCCCGCCCTTTCCCGTCAAGAGGACCCAACGGCCTTCGGCACGGCGGCGCGACGGAAGGACCAGGACGGCGGGCATGCCGTCAGCCCCCGAGGTGAGCGGACGCCGCGCGGCAAGGCGCCGCCGCTGCCGCTGCCGTCGCCGTCGCCGTTGCCGCTGCCGTCGCCGTCGCCGTCGCCGTCGCCGTCGCCGTCGCCGTCGCCGTCGTCGTCGCCGTCGCCGTCGCCGTCGCCGTCGCCGTCGCCGTCGCCGTCGCCGTCGCCGTCGCTTCGTCGTCGTCGTCGTCGCCGTCGCCGTCGCCGCCGCCGTCGTCGTCGCCGCCGCCGTCGTCGTCGACGCCGCCGCCGTCGTCGTCGCCGCCGTCGTCGTCGTCGTCGTCGTCGTCGTCGTCGTCGTCGTCGTCGTCGTCGTCGTCGTCGTCGTCGTGGTCGTCAGTGTTGTCGTCGTCGTCGTCGTCGTTGTCGTCGTCGTCCTCGTCGTCGTGGTCGTCAGTGTTGTCGTCGTCGTCGTCGTCGTCGTTTGCGTTGCTGTCGTGGTCACTGTTGCCGTCGTTGTCGTCGTCATTATTTTCGATCGCAGCGTTGCCATCGTCAGTGGTGCCGTTGCTGCCGGCTCTCCGTCGTGGCCGTCAGTGATGCCGCTCTTGTCGTCGCCAGCCTCCTCGTCAGCGCTGCCGCCGTCAGCGTGGACATCGGCATGGAGTCCCCGGCAAGTGCTTGCAGCTGGGGGTTCGTGCCTCTCTTCCGGGGCAGCTGGGTCCCACTGCCGCCCCAGCCGGCCTGGGGCCGTTCGTCGCCGCCCGGCGCCGCCGTCCGTCGCCGCCGCGATGCTTCGAATCGGTTCGCGTTGCTTCGCATCGCCTCGCATTGCCTCGCACTGCTTCGCACTGCTTCGCACTGCTTCGCGTTGCTTCGCATTTCTGTGCGTTGCTTTGCGCCGCACAGATTGCGTCGCACAAATTGCACCACCCAGACCGCACCACGCCGCGTAGACTGCAAGGCGTCGATTGCAAGGAATCACAGTTTGGGGTCTACGCTGGTTGATCAACATACATGGAAAAAGGTCCTGCGTGCAATCTCGCCTCGACCGAGAAAGTGGAGCCCGCGCTCGAGCTTCGGATTGGGTCCCAGTCCAGGCTCTTGAACGCCCAGCTGCGATGACAGCGGATCCTGCTCGATACTTCTTCACATAGGGGAACGAACAATAACATGAACTTAACAAATCGGAGGTCCGCGCGCATTTCTCGGATCGGCGTTCGACGCCCCTGGCGGCGCTTCTGGCGCCGCCATTGGCGCTCTCCGCGCGCCAGGGAGGGGGGTCAGCGCCGATCAGAGAAATCCGCGCGGACCTCAGAGTTTCTATGTTTATGTCATTGATCGTTCCCCTATCATAACTTCTTCCGAGGCCCTGACCACAGAGGCCCCCGAAACTCTGGAGGTTGACGCCTTCGCCCGAGGCTTCCTCGCAACTCGGTCAGGTTGGCGAAGGCCCAACCGTGACAGCAGCGGCTTCTGACCTGCACTTCCTCACAGTGTACCCCGACACGCCCTGGCTACTCTGAGTTTCTTAATAAGCGTCGGGGGGGCGTCACCCCCGCCGACAGCCCCACATCGACCCCCGTCGCGGGCAGCTACCGCGCGCAGAAGGCGCTCTGACCCCTGTCGCGGCGCGACGACGAGGCGAGGTTGACCCCCGTCGGGGGGGGTACCCCCCTCGCTTAACCCAGAGTAGGGAGGCTTCCAAATTCGTAGAATTCAATCTAGGTGGCGAAGGCCCAACTATGACGTCAAACGGCTCCTGCTCGGTACTGCCTCGCAATTTACTGCCACGATCCTTGGTTGGATGCTTTCCCTCACTCAGGAAAGGCGCTCCATGCTGAGTACTTCTCCCTGGAGCTGGCGTGAACAGAAGACCTCCCCTCAATGTGGGTGGTTCATAGACTTCGAGGGGGAGTGTAAGGGGAGGGGGAAAAGCAAACGAAGGTCACCGCAGCTTGTCGAAATGCATGCCTGCAACATGGCTGTCATTGTTGTTGTCAATGTCGTCGGGCGGAAGGGAGGAAAGGACGAGGAGGAGCAGGAGCAGGATACATGAGGAGGCTGAGGTGGATGAGGAGCAACAGCAGGAGCAGTATGGGGGGAGGCGGGGAGCAGTAGGCTGGAGTGGTGGAGGAGGGGCAGGAGGACGGGGGTGCAAGAACTCTCACTCTTTAAGAAAAACTATTGTTGATCCCCCTCACTGGTGCACATGATATTTTTCAATTGAAATGCCCCCTTCCCCTTGGGGCTCGAACCATGTTTTTAAACTGGGAAGGTCTTCGTGCTCAAACTGCGTTGTTGGGCGCCGAGGTGCAGCATCAACGGCTTCCGCTTGATTCATCATTATGATTTATTCCCAAATCGCGTTCTCGCGCGGGACTTCTTCACAATGTATGCATGAACCTCACTTTCGCGTGGGACATCCTCGCAATTCATTCAGACGCCGCGCCTCGACACTCAGGAGTCACGCTCTCGCTTTGGCCTTTCTCACGATTCACTGGGGATTCGCGCTTTCGCTCGAGGGATCCTCGCGATTCGTGCAGGGCTTACGCTTCAGCACCCCGCCCTCTTTGGGGCGCCTCGAGGGGGCCTCTGGGGAGATTTTTGGGCCTTCTTGGTGGGAAAGGCTCGAAATATATGTTCGTATCCCCCACTCTTCAGTCCTTCATTGGCCGTCTTGGGGGCCGTCTTGGGGCCCTCTTGGGGTTCATGGGCCGTCTTGGAACGGTCTTTGGGCCTCCTCAGGCCGTCGTGGACGCTGGGAAAACGAAACAGGCGAGCTTACACCAAATGTGCGTTCTCCGATGGGAATGGAATGATTTTGCTTTTCTAGCCCTGTCGGCGATCCTCTGGAATCACTCTGAGGCCGTGTTGGATGCGTCGTGGGCCGTCTGGGAACCATCTTGCACTGTCGTGGGGCTACCTTGGGCTGTTTCGGCACTCTCTTGGACGGTCTTGGCGCTATGCTTGGGTCCTCTTTGTCCCGTCTTGGACTCTTGGAGCTTCCGGAGGCTCCCGGAGAAGCGATGGCGACGCTCATAGGCACACGGGGGGGGGCCTCGACGTCATTTTGGGCCCCAAGGGAGGGGGAAACGGGGGGGGGGAGAGCCGAGCATCTCACGCGCTTTGTCACCTCTTGCAAGCGGGGTTTCAGGCACCCTGACCGTCGGAAAAAATGTGAGCGTTTGCTCAGATGACATCTGAAAAGTTGGAAGTTCTGAGCCTGCGCCTCCTGTGTCCGCTGGAGCCCCAACGTCCCCGCCATCATCGGAGGAGGTTGATCTCCGAGTCGATGCGGCGGGGGCCGCTCTGGCATGAACTGCTCAGCTCTGCGATGTGGCGGCCGCCCTTCGACACGAAGAAGCGTTGGCCCCACCTCACCGTTCTCGTGGTGATCATGGGGGGGGGGGGCTGAGTCGGGTTCGGGTTCGGACTCACAGTCGGTGCCCGCAACAGGCGCCTCTTCTGCTGTGAAGCGCCCAGACCTGCCCACCGCAGTAAGTCTGAGCTGCAGTGTTCTCTTGCAGCTGGATACCCGCGGGCAACAGAAATCCTCCTTGACTTTCCGTCGTCATCTAGTTTTCTCCCCTTCATTCCTCATACCCACCTGCCGACGTCTCCTCATTTCCTCTGTCTCCTCGTTTCCCCCCCTCGTCCCTTCTTCCCCCTCCCCCCCTGTTCGTCCCCCCCAGCCCTCTCCCTCGTCCTCCCTCCCTCCCTACTCGTCTCCTCTCCCCTCTCCCTCGCCTCCTCCTCCCCCCCCCTCCTCCGCCTCCGCCTTGGGGCCACGTTCAGTCTGAACGTCGGGACCTCCCTGGAGGGCGACGCCGAGGCCTGAGATGGCCAGCGCCCACCGCCAGCAGGCCCGAAGGAGCAGGGACGTCGTCCTCGGGGAAAATCGCGAAGGTTCTCCCTTCCCCCCTCCCTCTTTTTTGCTCTTTTTCCCTTCTCGACCCCCCCCTCCTCCGCAGCTCGGCGAGGCGTGGCCGCTGCTGTCCGCGAGTCTCCGCGCCGTTCCCGAGGCGCGTCCACGGGGGTGGGGTGGGGCTGAAGAGGGAGGGCGCGAGGATGCGGAAATGCGGAAATGATCAGGCGATCGCAAACATGGATCAAGGGGGCGTGGATCAGCGACGGGTCCCGTTTCCATGGGAGATCGCGGATTTCCGCCGCCGAGCGAGGCGGCACCGGCCACATTCTGGGGAGGGCATCTCCCTCGATCCATGGATTTGGCGACCGCGCGCCAAGTCCATGGATCGCTCATCCATGTTGGCGCGCTCCCGAAAGGAAGGAGGGGGAGGAAGAGGGGGGGAAAACGAGGAGGAAGAGGAGGAAACAGAATATGAGGAGCAGGTGAGGGGGAGAAGGTGAGGGGGAAGAAGAGGAGGAGGCTCAGGGCCGTCAGCCTGGGCAGTGCAGCGCCGACCTCCTCGTCGGCTTCTCCTGCCGGCCGCGGGCACGCGGTCGAGCCTCCTCGTCGACGCCCGTCTACGCGTCTCGGGCCGAACGAAAGGGGGGGATAGGGAAAGGGGGGCTACGAAATCTGCTGCATGCAGCTGGTTTCGGCCCCGCCGCCGGGCCCATTCCTCGATACATGGGCGCCTCCCGGCGCCGGGAGGCGCTGGGAACATCAGCTACGTGGGCTGATTCTCTGCCCTGCCCTTTGCTATCCCCCCCTTCCGTTCCTCCCGAGCGTTGGCGATCCAGGAGCCGACTTGGCGCATTGCGTCGAGGAGTCGCTTGTGCTCCGCGTGGGCCTACTCGGGGAAGGGATAACGCGCAGCACCCTATTTCGCGGCCACATCCGCGAAGTCGTTGCCGACCTTGTCGGCGCTGCCGCCTGCCTCCAGGTACGCCTGGTGGCCCTCGGACCACGTGACCTTCAGGCTCTCCGAGAGGCTGCCCAGGTCGTCGATGGCGCGCCAGAGCTGGCGCCACAGGTCCACGCTCTCGCGTCGGACTTGGCTGCAGTGCTCCTTGCCGTACACTAGTACTTCGACAATGCCGAGACAATCCGTTTTGATGTGCATCGGTCAGCGCCCATGCTTCATCGCCTGGAGTACCGCGTACAGCTCACTTCGTTGGACTGTTTGCTGGGGTGCGGGCAAGGGGCCCAAGGCCATCCCCGTGAGGCGTCTGCCGTCCAGGATGGCAATCCCCCAGCCTGCGCTGCTGGCCTCTGGCCAGTACAGTGGGCTCCTGGCGGAGCCATCAGTGTGGATCACGCCAGTGGTGTCCCTGGTCTGGCCGCCCAGGCAGTATCACCATCGCTGCGTATCCATCGGCGGTGGTACGTCTGGCAGCACGGCCCCGGGGAGCAAAGCGCGCGTGAAGAAGGGGTCATTCTGTGCCGCCTCGCGCGCCATGTGCAGTATGGTGCCATTCACTGCCTGCCTTCGTATGTCGTCCGTGCTGGGGCACATCCAGCATTTGTGATGAAGGTCGCCGCGCTGCTCTTGGCAGCAAAGGCAATTCGGGGAGTCCACGTCGCCTATGGTGTGGAGGCGCCGCTGCGACCACTGGGCCCCTATGACCGTGGACCGGAGCCCTGCCCGCGCCTTGGGTTTCATGTGCCACCTGTCGGCCTCAGGTGGAGCATGAAGAAGTGCTGCATTCGGCTCGATCCAGTGCCCCTTTGGATTCCGCGGTGCCAGTGGAAGTTCTGGTGCGAGTTATTTCTTTGCAGCCCACTCCTCCCATTTCACTGACTCGAAGCTACGTCTCGCCATGGCGCCGACCCAGGGTGGCGACGCATCTGTCAAGTTGAGGGTCGTGCCGCTGCCCGTCTTCCAAAGGGTGGCCGAGCGCGCGCGCCATCCCAAGTGGTGAAGGTTAAGTATGGCTGCGCCCGCAGGGCCCGCCACCTTGCTCAAAGGCGCCGTCGTCGCCAGTGACGTGGACTGCAGGTGCCGGGCCTGCTCAAGGACGTGGAGGGTGATACTTTGGTCAAACACCATCCGCGCCCAAGTGTAGATGGGCCCCACCGTCGCCATGGAGTCGGGCATCTGGCGAGCCGCATCTTCGAGCAATGAAGCCAGACAAGTCGAGTAAACCGTCGGTGTCTTGCTCCAGCCCTTGCGCACCACGTTGGTCATACAGTGGGAACCCATGCCTGCCCTTGGTTTCTTAGGTTTCGATGGTTTTGCTATGGAAAGCGTGACGTTCCTACACCCAAACTCAATCGACGTCCTGGGGTCTCAGGGTTGGGTTTCTTGTGGGAGGTCTCTTGTGGACTGGCCTCCACTGTAGAGGTGATAGCTGTGGGAGGCGCACCCACGACGTGAAGTCCGCGTACCATGCCAGGCGCTAGGCACGGCCTGGCGATCCTCTCGGCCAGCTTGTTGAGGAGGAGGAGGAGGAGGAGGAGGAGGAGGAGGAGGAGGAGGAGGAGGAGGAGGAGGAGGAGGAGGAGGGGGAGGGGGAGGAGGACGAGGAGGACGAGGAGGACGAGGAGGAGGAGGCGGAGGAGGAGGGAAGACTGCGCCCCCGCTCTGGGCCCCTCTCTGAAGTATCCCCCCCGAGGCGGCCGACGAGGACAACGAGGACGCTCGGCTGCGCGCCCTGCAGGTCCACGCCCTTGTCCTCCTCCGACCTTCTCGCGGGTAGAGGCCAGGAGAAGGGATGAAGGTGAGGAGGAGGAGGAGGAGGAGGCGGGGGCGGGGGAGGGAGGAGGAGGAGGAACAATATCTCATCAGGACGAGGGGGAGGAGGAGGAAGGATGATCGAGAAAAGCGAGGATGAGGCGGAGCTGATGAGGCGAAACGGATGAGGAGGAGTAGTTGCCCCTCCTGCTGTTTCCCGTCGTCGCCGTTGTCACTCTTCCCCTTCTCCTCCTCCCCTTTGCAATGGCATCATGATGCATTCGAGCACTTTTGGAGCGTGTTTCTTTATTGCTTTGAGCATAGCAGGCGTTATAGCCCCCGCCCCCCCCGTACAACGTAACGCCCCCCCCCCCCCCGTCGGTGCGCCCCGGGCACAGCCGCCGTGCGCATCGGGATCCGCATAGGCGTCCGCATAGGAGTCCGCACAGGGGTCTGGTCCGCAGTCCTCGTCGTCGTCGTCGTCGTCGTCGTCGTCGTCGTCGTCGTCGTCGTGGTCGTCGTCGTCGTCGTCGTCGCTCGTCGCTCATCGCTCATCGCTCATCGTCCTCGTGCGCGCGGTCGCGGCTGGAGCCTGTTGAATTCCGGGCCGATGACGGCCGTCATCTGGGGGGGGGCGGGGCCGAGGACGTCGCGTTTCGCGCCAGCAGTTTGGGAATACCAAGGAATGACCGATGACGGGTAGCAGCAATGTAGGTGGCGATCCGCATAACAGCGCTCGTGTACACCACAGTGCCTGCCTGCACCACAGCGCCTGTGTACACCGCGCAGCCTGTGTACACCACAGCAGCCGCGGGCAACGCATCGCCAGTGTATGCCACAGTGCCTGCGGGCACCACTGCGCTTGTGTACACCACAGCGCCTGCGTACACCACATCAGCCGTGCGCAACACATCACCAGTGCACACGTTTATGCAGGTGGCGAATTCAAGCGCGCTCGTGGCCGTGTGCGTGAGCTGCTGCTAACGCGCATGGGAAACATAATCGTCTTAGGCGACCCCCCAGGCCCATTTAGCCCCCCACAGCGATACTTCCGTAGCTGTGCGTTCTGGCTGTTTGGAAAAAAAAACAGCATCCCGCCCGCCGCGCGCGCGCGCCCTCCCCGGGCGCGCCCTCTCGGCCGGCCGGCCCTCTCTCACCCATAGGGGCAACCTAAGCTTAACGGAAATTCACACAGCACTCATAGCGTGGAAGGCTACACCCCCTACTCAACTTTCCCGAGGACGAACTTGAGCAAGAGCCTTCCAGGAAATAATGAAAAACAATGTGTCAATGTGGTTAACGATGTGCCAATGCCATCGAAGGACTGGCGAAATACCGGTTATCAGCCGAAGGTTCCGACTTCGACGAAAGTGGTTCTACCTGATGGAGGGAATGTGTTCCATTCTGTGGGATGCACGTCCTCATAAAAAAAAACCACGCGATGAAAAGATGAGCGCGTAAATTCCTGATTCCGATTCCGTCGGCGAGGTCGAAGAGTTGCGCCCGCGTCCTCCCGACGAGATATCCTGGAACCCTTCGTATGCAGAAGGGCCTCGTCCAAGTGCGCCGAGACCCAAGAACAATATCATCTCCCAGCAAGAACATGAAGGAGATGAAGGTGATGACCTCGCCCCGCTCGATGGCCGCATGGGCGCTCCCGAGCAAGTGCCGAGTGGCGACCGCGGCGTGGAGACCATATCATATGAGAATTTCTCTCGCAGATCTTTGCCTGCACCGCTTAGTTGCCATAGGGGCCAGGGGCCGCCTGTTGAGGGGCGCGGGGCCCATGGCCCCGCGTTCCCCGCCCCGCTGGGCGATCTTCCGCAGCGCGGCGCGCTGTTGTCGCCCATGCGTGGCCCGGATGCGGCGACCGCATCAGATGGCTCCCTCTGGCGGCACTTGGAGGGCGTCGCGGGCGAGGAGTTCGCGGGCGACGTTGTTCGACCAGCGAACAAGCAGTGGCGAGAACCTACCAGCCTTTCGGTTACTTCGCCTCTTGGAAAGCGAAGCAGGTTTGGCGATGCCCCGGAGCAGTGCCCAATGCTCGCTCCAGGGGGGATGCCCGGGAGCTATGCCCTGGGGGCCCCCGGGCGGACTTCAATGCTTGAACCCCTTGATCTGCGCGCCCGCTCGCCCCGAAAGAGCAGCGCGGAGGGAGGCAGGCCCAGGGCTCCAAGGCCGCGATCAGAGGTGTCGACCTTGTCTGACTTGTCGAGAAGATCGAGCACCTATAGCGTGCGGATCAACGCCAAGTGTGCCAGTTTTGGCTCCGGGTGTGCTGACGTGCCTGAGTCGCGGTGTCCTGGCCTGCTGGGCCAGTGTGACAATCCCGTCTGCTTTGGATGCCCCAAAATTTTTGACCTCTGCAATCTCAACTTCCCCTGCCCGGCTTGTGCGGCTCCTAGTTCGCGCGAGTGCGCTGGATTGCGTGTCGATGAGTGGCGATGAGCAGAGGGCTGCAAGTGGCGCGAGATATATGGAAGCCAGGGACCGAGATCTAGCTGATATGCGCGAGCAGCTGAGGTGATCAGCTCCGACAGCAGGAAGTCGCTGCCCTCCAGTTGGGGAGGGGCCGGGGGGCCATGGCGAACGCTGCGCGCACCCTGGGGGAGCGAAAGCAGGCTGCAACGGCGGCGGAGATATGCGAGCTAGCAAACAGGCTCGAAAACGCCGCCGCCCCCGAGCGCCAGGCGCATCTTCGCGAGCAGAACAAGGCGGAAGAAGCGAGGCGTGCTGTCCGGGGGGCTGGCGAGGCCCAGCGAGTGACGATGGCGCAGGCCGCCGCGGAGATGCAGGCAGCGGAGAGCCAGAATGCACAATGGCGGTAGAAGCCGCCGCTGCCCTGCGGCAGGCCGAGGCAAACTGGCTCGTCGCGGATGAGAGCTATGCTCGGTCCGAGGCAGAGAAGCTACGCGCTCGCGAGGAAGCGCGGCGAGTTGAGTTGATGAAGAGAAAGTCGCAGCGCAGAGTCTTGCGGCGGAGACGTAGGCTGCACAATTGATGATGAAAAAGGAAGCAGAGCGATTTGATTTATAATGCCGCAAATTTGACCAACGTCAGATACAGTGGCGCCCGACAGGAGCGTCTTCTTCAGCGACCGCGGGCACGGGTTCTTCGACCCAGGTGAGTTCGGCGACGGCGTCCGCTGCTCAGCCGCTGGCGCCGGGTGCGGCTGGGCGGCCGCCAGCGCGTGGGGGCCCAGGCCCGCGTCGTCACATGGGGGATCTCAGGTGTTCCTTATGCTTCGCGGTGGCGAAGCGCGATTGCCCCAAGTGCAAGATAGGCTTTTGTGGCGACCATTCTGCGAAGGGCGATGAGGCGCGCGCGCGCGCTGCTACGGGGCGAACTCGACGGCCAAGGGGAACGGGGAAGCGGAGAGGCCCCAGGAGAAAGAATGCGAGGAACGACAGGCAATAAAGACACATCCGGAACACAACGCCGCTGCATCTATGCCGAGAGTTCCGTCTCGTGACCGCTCGCATCGGCCTAGTCGCGCCTTGGGCTATGCCTCAGGGAGTGATGGTCGACGAACCGAGAACGCTGAATCCAGTGGGCTTCTTGGTTTTGAGGAGACGGCAAGAGCTGCGAATGAGAAGCTAAGTGAACGTCTCGAGCTGGCCATGCAGCGTGAAGAAGATAGCGCCAGGATGCGTGCCGAACGAGATGTGAGGACCCAGGAAATGCGCGAGGAAAGGGCCGAAGCTGCTGTCAATGCAGACAGAACAGAATCGGCGGCAGTTAGAGTCTGTGCCGCTACACTTTTTCCAGGATAGTCACCTCCACCACCCGGGAGTTTGCCGAGCACATTCAAGAACAAAGACAAGGAACATGAGTCACCCCCCCGGTGGAAGGCACCGGGCTCTGACGCGGCGGCGGCGGAGATGACGGCGGCGATGATGGCGACGACGATTGCAATATTGGGGACGATGGATATTCGACGCCTGATGGAGAGGGGGTAACAATCCAGATCGCCGGCGCTAGCGTGGCGGATGGCCGCGCGGAGGTGAGTCGCCAGGTGGGGGCGGCGGGGGCGGCGATGCCCCCCCGTTTCCGTCGGTGGACTATGTCCCGGCTGTGCCATGCTGGAATGATGCGGGCAGGACGGATAAGCTCGCGTTGGAAGCGATTCCAGATGGTGCTGAATAGCAGCGCTGGATGTGCAACGTCGTCAGGACATTGGTTTGTTGTCTCAGCATTGCGAATGGGGCCGTCAGCTGAATGTCGAGCGCGTTCGACGCGAAGAATGTTCACGCAAAGGGGCTGAAAGATTCTGGCATCTTCACCGGGCTCGACTTGACGATAGCAGCTGACGCAATGTCCAAGGTCAACAAGATAATCAGTGACAGGCGGTCGCCATCCCAATTTCGCCACCTTGCGAGCGAGATTGAACGATTGGATACCGCATCGCAGGCCGCCAGGTGCATGATGAAGGGTCGTGGTGTTTTGCGCGTGATTGCCGTGCGCGTGACCGCCGGGCAGGATCGTGGCCAGGCGTATGCGTGCGCAGATCTTATGGGGATAGCGAGCCACGGTGCAGGCAAGGAAGCGGATGCCGACCTGCTCCGCTTCTACGATGAGTGGGCAAGGACGCCGGGCGAGATGGAGGACCTGGACTCCTTCCTTTCGCCCAGCTATACAGGAACAAGTCTACCGCCAAGCGCAGACATACTCTTGCACGCAGTGCGCCCTCGTCATCTATGATCGTATCAATGATGATCGCGGGGCGGGTGTGACATCTGGCGAACGAATGGCCGCTGTCCAAGGACAGCGACTTCATGCGCGCAATCGAGAAAAGGCAGTCGAAGACAATGAACTCGCGCGGTCTCCCCGTTGGTGGCGACGGGGTCGAAGGAGCGGGAGGCTGGGCTGGCAGGGGGGGCCAACGCCTGTGCATGAAGGGCGGTCGCCTTAAGAAGTGTGTCGTTGGCAACAAGTTTCTCCATGGCAAATGCCCATGTGCTCGGGCACAGTGTCAATGCCTGCGCC